ATTTATTTATTTATTATGTATACAACATTCTGCCTCCTTGTATGCCCACACGCCGGAAGAGGGCACCAGATCTCATTACAGATGGTTGTGAGCCACCATATGGTTGCTGGGAATTGAACTCAGGACCTCTGGAAGAGCAGCCAGTGCTCTTAACCACTGAGCCATCTCTCCAGCCCTGTTATATGTAATTTTGCTATGTTAAAGTTAAAATCTTTCCTTTTTGTTTAAACAGAAAAGGGGGAAATGATGGAGGAAGGTCATTGGCTAATAAAGAAACTGCCTTGGCCCATTTTATAGGTTAGAACATAGGTGGGTGGAGTAAACAGAACAGAATGCTGGGAGGAAGAGGAAGTGAGCTCAGACTCGATAGCTCTCCTCTCTGGGGCATTCAAAAATGTCGTCATTGCTACTCCTCTCTTGGTTTTGGTGCAGAAAAGAACTAACACAGCAGGCCTGAGACTCTGAAGAAACGATGCCTGGTACAGTCAGACTTTGGCTGTAGTCTGCAAATGTGACTTTGGGGAGAGCTTCTGTCACTTTCAGAAACACAGAGTAACTCTCAAAATGCCGAAACCATTTACAGTTTATTTCACAAACAAGACCCGCTCTACTTGTGGGTGTCTGGATTTGGTGTGCGCTATGCGGATGGGTACCATGCTGTTAGAAGCCCTGGCCCTGGGCTCGGGCAGCACCTTGGAAGAAAGCCTTTCACACTTTTCATTGCTGGGGTGGTTGATTGCACCCTGTGTGTCCCCACTAGGAGAGCATCGTCAAAAGCTTCTGGCTCCTCTGGACTTGGCCTCTCAGGCCTTCTTCTCATTGGTAACTTGATCTCAAACCCTCACTTCAGTAATGGGTGTGATGTTGCCGATATCCTGAGTCATTTGGATGAGACACCTAGGATGTGTCTAGGATGAGACTCTAGGATGAGACATCCCCAAACACAGGTTCCCACCCCATACACGGTGTTGTTGTCCAGGTGAAGAGCACAGAAGATCTGAAACTCACCTTTCTTAAATTTCTCCTTATACAGAGTCCCCTTAGCATTACCACAGGTCACTGGAAGCTCAGGAAGGCTAAAATCCACATCTTTTTGTTTGTGAATTCTTGGACCTGCAGGGACATAATATGCTTTATTATAGATCTGTGCACGCCCTTCCCTCTACCCACTTTGGTATCTTCTTTCTGCAACATAAAACACATGATTTTTTTCCCAGGAATTAGTTACACTTGAAGGGATTTCTTTTATGAATGATTAGGTTCTTACAGATAACAACCTGCTCTGCTCCCAAACTCTGAACTCCTGCATAGTGGCTGAAGTCTTGTGTTTCAGAATCCTAGCTCTCAAACAGGTTGGTTGGTCACAGCAGCCACTGTACAGAGACTTTCATACGAATATTTTGAATAGATAGTTCTCATTATGCAATGACTTGGGAGTTCTGCATATGTGAATGATAACTCTCAAATTTTGTTCTGCTGTTGGAGGCATCTCCGGTAGAGGGGGATAGAAGGGGGTACCCAATGAGGTGATGTCATTACTCTCCTTTCATCTGATTCACTGTCTTTCTCCTCTCCTGAGCTTGCCTGAGGCCTCAGGCAATTTCTATGGAAGATTCTGCAGTTCTAAAGGAGCCCTGCACACCACTCTAAGGGTGTTTGTTAGACACAGAAAGCCATGAGGGTGTTTATATTTAAACAACATGGTGTTGATATGGCTATCTGATATGTCAGCTCAAACATGGCTGGTACTGTATATGGTGGGAAGGGGAAGATGACAATGAGTTAGCACATTGAGTTAGCTGACACCAAGTATCTGGAAACCCCAAAGTAAATAGTGATGTCATGTTTTAGATAATCAGTTCTGGCAGAGTGCAGCTTTTGCTTGGTTCTGTATAAATATGGCCTTGAGGCCACCTTTATCAGCTTGCCTGCCTGTATCTGCAAACTTGTGTGCCTACCTCCACTCAGCCTGCCTGTCTATGTCCCAGCACATGCCTGGTGCCTGCTGGTGATGCCTGTGACTGGCAGTCTATGGGTATGTCTCATTTGTGTGGGATCCAATTTCAATGAACCAGATATTGAAGGCCTTAAAATGAACTTCCATATTAGTGGCTCCTGCTTTTCCAGCCAGTTAAAGGTTCCATCAATGGTGTAGGTGGGCCTTCTGTCTATGTGTTACTTTCATTGGTTAATAAAGAGACTGCCTAGGCCTTTTGATAGGGCAGAAAATTAGGTGGGCGGAGTAGACAGAACAGAATGCTGGGAAGTAGGGAAGTGAGGCAGACACCATGATTCTTTGACCTTAGACAGATGTAGGCTAGAATCTTTCCTTGTAAGCCACCACTTTGTGATGCTACACAGATTATTAGACCTGGGTTAATCAAGATGTGAGAGTTAGCCAATAAGAGGCTGGAACTAATGGGCCAGGCAGTGTTTAAATGAATATAATTTGTGTGTTGTTATTCCGGGGCTAAGCTAGCCAGGTGGCCTTAGGCGGTAGGAAAGCAGGCCTGCTCGCCTCATCAACGACACTGTGGGGTTGGGATGTGGTGGGAGGAGGGTTCCACAGCTGCTTCAGAGCAGTCTCTCAAAACAACATAGGCTCTGGCTGGGTACTCAGCTTAACTTACCTGAAACTGGATGCCACATTTTTTTAAAAATGTGCATTGGCATTTTACTTACATGTATGTCAGCATGAGGGTGTCAGATACGAGTTATAGGCAGTTATTAGCTGCCATGTGGGTACTAGGAATTAAACTCAGGTTTTCTGGAAGAGCAGTCAGTGCTCTTAAATGCTGAGCCATCTCTCCAGCCCCTACTATGTCTCTTCTTACAGATAAAAAATTTGAGTTAGGAAAGGGCAAATGACAGGCCAAAGGCACACAGGAATTGAGGAATTAGAACACAGGTCTTGTTTACCATCAAGGTCTGTGTGTTTCCATGGCTTTCTACACTGGCAAGAAAAAGTTATGCTACATATCATGTGAGTCACATACTTTTTCTATTACCTCAAGAATGTTCAGTACATGAAGACACATGCAGCCCTTGGTCCCTCCCAAATCAACTAAGTAGTCGGAGGAATGAGAGTTACCAGCAATCTGTCTGTTTCTGTTGACACTGACCAATACTGATGATGACCTTATGACTTGGTACTGATTTCAACAGCCAGTCAAGAAAGCCAGCTTGTCACTCACTGCGCAGAGTACACATTAAGAGCTTAGCTACTTCGTCAACGTTTGTTGTGGCACTTCTGACAAGCTGTGGACCTCACCCTAGGTGTCCACCAGCAGTGGAATCAGTAAAGAAACTGATTTATGTACACAGTGGAATTTCTCTCAGCCATGAAAAGAAAACCAAAATTATTGCCATTTGCAGGAAAATGGATACAACTGGAGATCATCATGGTAAGCACACTTAGTGAGGCTCAGAAAGACAAAGGCGTGTTTGCTCTCATCTGTGGCTCTTGAGTATTTGCACAGAGACACAAAACTATATGTACAGATGATAAGAATGTAGGAGCAAATTTGTCTGGGAGACAAAGGGGGATCAACAGGAATGGGGAGTGGAGGGCCATGGGCCCTGGTGGAATTTGCTCAAAGAATGCTTATTTACTTGCATGTAAATTGTCTATGAGACCCAGTATAATATAGTATAAAATGAAAAAAAAATTAAGTCCAGGCTTGGTACTATATGCCTTTAATCCCAGTACTGAGAAAGCAAAGGCAGGTGGATCTCTATGCGTTCAAGATAGGACTGGTTTACATAGCGTGTTTCAGGCCAGCCAGGACTGCATAGTGAGTGAGATCCTGCCTCAAAAATATTTTAAAAGATTATTATTCATTGAAAGTTGATAAACCACATTTTTCTTTACCTCGTTTTCTGCCTCTTCGTGAAGATCTGTTGGTACGTCTCTCCGTGTAAGCTGAGAAAACATCACACAAGTCTCTTATTGATAACATCACATTGCAAGCAACACTTTACAGAAAAACTGTTTAAAGCTAACTTTCCTGAATCCTGTTTAGTACTTTCTGAAAAATAAAGATAAAATCCAGACCAGAAGTTGTTGCGGGAGGTCCTTCCGCCCCTCCAGCCAACAGCTGCTGTGATACCAGCCCATTGGGGCGTGGTCTCTCTCCCTTTAAAAAAGCGGCTATTTCCTCTGCTCGCTCTTCTTCACTTCCTGCTCCGCTGGAGACTAGACTCCCTTCCTGGTTGTGCAGATGACTGTTGTCTGGGACAGTGATCTGTAAGTTTTTTCCCCCTTTAAATAAATAACACCCTATTAATCATAACTCCAAACTGGTGTGGCATTGTTCGTGACTTACACCTTCAAGAAGTCAGGAGCATTTCCGGTAAAGGCCTGGACAGTAAACATCCAAGGTCTTGTGGTCCCTGATCTGCTTTGTGATTCCTTAGCTTTTCATTCATATGAGGAAGCATCCATAGACTACATGTAAATAAAAGGAAATTTTCTAATAAAACTTTATTAATAAATAACTGACAAGTCAGATTTTTCCTCTTGGCTAAAGGTTGCTGACTTCTGATCTAGATTTAATTATAAAGGTGGCAATCATCAGGTTTATGTGTTGACTTGATGTGACACACACACAAAAAGAACAAATCACTTCATAAGTGTGATTAAGACAATAATGGCCAAATCAGTTTGAATGGTAAAGTTGGGGGATTTAGAGGTCTGTTTGTTCTTTCTCAGTCTGTGCCCACAGCTGGCATCACAAGGATATTCTTTTGGAAGTGCAGACCCTGAAATAAAGCCTCCTCCATATATACAGTCATAAATACTCCTTCCTTTGAGCAGGGCATATCTAGATTGGGTTGCAAAGGAATCTTGCCTTAGTGAGATGCAAGGAATTCTTGAGATAAATAATACTTCATTTTCTGGGTCTTGGTCCTAACAGTTACCCAGAACCTTAAAAAAAAAACACAAAAAAACCAACCCTACACTCTGGAGGCAGAGGCAGGTGGATCTCTGAGTTTGAGCCCAGCTTGGTCTACATGAACTAGTTCCAGGACAGGCTCCAAAGTTACAAAGAAACCTTGTCTCAAAACACACACACACACACACACACACACACACACACACACACACACACACACCCCAACAGCCGCAGCAACAACAACTACAACAACAATAAAACCCCAACCCTATTGGGATATAAATGGCCCCATGAAACATCTATTGATTGATTGCTACAAGATTTCACTATGTAGCCCAAGTTGGCTTCAAACTTGCAATCCTCCTGCCTCTGCCACTGTCTCCTCAGTCCTGAGATCCCCAGGTTTGAGCTGCTGGCCCAGCCCAGGAGGCGTGTACCCATGAGTAACATCTCAAGAGCTTGAGTGTTATGCCTCAAGTTACCCTTAGTGAGCTAACTGAGATACCATGGAGAGTCAAGGAACCAGAGCTTCCTAGCCTTGCATACAGGAAGAATCACCTTGGTTTTTATCCAGGCTTCAAGAAGCAGGTAAAACAGGAAGAAATGGACATGCCAAGGACATAGGTGAGTTTTCTCACTACCTCTTGTTTGTCCCCCAGTACAAATTGCTCTTAATTGAGCAGTGTCCAAGAATGTGATTGGACCAAGTTTGGTGATAGCTGTATGGTGGGAGTGATAGGTTACCTGCACTGGGGAGTGGTGCTCAGTGTGAGACACTGTCATTCATGATGCTGAAGTCCTAGATATGCCCAGGGCAAACTCCCCACTCCTCTTTCCCTCCACCCCGTGGTCCCATAGGAAGCCACCTGTGCTCTGTCTGCTCTTTCCACTTATGTAAAGTGACCAAATGGGAGCCCAGCCTTGACTGTAGCCTCAGTGTGTTCCACAACAGCACCCCCTGAGGTGTGTGGGTTCTGCTCTCAGTTCCTCTCTGTTTAGACTTTCTTGGACTTGTGACCTAGTCCTCCATTTCTATCAAAACCAACTGAAGCCAAAGAAACAAACATGTGCTTTACTCTCTCCCAGATCACATATGGTAAGGAGCTGGTGGTCTGGCTCTGGATTCCTGCAGGTGCAGTGCAGATGGGAGGTAAAATGCCCTGGTGAAGTAGGACTCAACTAGTCTTCTCTCTTCTAGACATTTTGTTTAAACTTTAAATACCCACTTTTAAAAACAAGTGATTTATTTTTATTTTCTGTGCATTGGTATTTTGCCTGCATGTACGTCTGTGAGAGGGTGTCAGATACTCTGGAGGGAGAGTTGCTCATAGCTGCCATTGGGGTGCTGGGAATTGAACCCAGGTCCTCTGGAAGAACAGAGAACTCATAACTGCTGAGCCATCTGTCTAGCCCAGGTCTTCTAGTGTTAATGGCCACCTAATATTAATAAAACTGTACATGGACCATTTAAAATAATGTAGCCACAACCACCACATGGTATTTTAAACTATTTTGTTGATAATGCTATCATCTTAAGAGAGAGAGGTTGTCAGGGTATGAGTCTTGGGCTTTCTCAGAGTATCATCAGGTGTTGGGATGACTGTGAACAATGTACCAGGACCCCAAACCCTGGGTCAGGGCTCTTGTCTAAGCATGCTGCATAGAGCACAGAAGGGGACAGGGGGTGTGATTCTGCCAGTGTCAACCTTCCCTACTCCAGGCCTCCTGAGAGAAGCTACATTTCTTTTTCTGTCCTCTTTTTAATGTCTTTAAGATTTATTTTAAAATCTGCCCTCAGCAATTCATCAGGTCATCAGACTCTGAGCTCCCCTTTCTTTTCTGTGTCTCTGTCAGGTGTCAAAGGTGGAAGGAGTGGGGGGCTAAGGCAACATCTCCAGCTACTGCAAAAATAGCATAAGGAATGGTTTTCAAATTCTTTGTGCTGTTGTTTTTTTGGTTTTTGAGACAGGGTTTCTCTCTCTATTCCTGCCGTCCTAGACATCAATCTGGAGACCAGGCTGGCCTTGAACTCATATAGATCCGCTTGCTTCTGCCACCTGAGTACTGGGATTAAAGGCATGTGCCACATGCCAGGATGGTTTCCAGATTCTTATTTCACATTTGTACAAAGAAGCAAATTCCATGGGAACTAAAGTTATAATATTCTGTCTGTGTGTATGCCTGAAGGCCAGAAGAGGGCACCAGACCCCATTACAGATGGTTGTGAGCCACCATGTGGTTGCTAGGAATTGAACTCAGGACCTTTTGGAAGAGCAGGCAATGCTCCTAACCTCTGAGCCATCTCTTAAGCCCAATGATCAGGTTCTTTACAAACACTCTATGATCAAACATGGAACAACTTTTTTAATCTTCTGGTGGAAATGGCTACAACTACAATATGAAACCTAAGACCCAATGGAGGGGGCATGGGCTGGCAGTAGATTTAAGTAATAGAAGTTCAGACTTCTAGAAGACAAATAATTCTGTTAACAAACTCACCAGAAAACCAAGAACTGGGACAAAACTCCTAGTGATACCTGTGCTCTAGACTTAACACCATGTGACGGTGGAGGGGTCCCCATCATTGTGCAGCAATGTGAGGAAGAGGGGCCTTGCAGAAGCACCATGTTCCAGGGAGAAGTGCAACATGTGAACACCAGCAAATGAAAGTTTTCTGCTCCACTAAAATGAAAGCAATGAATACTGATAGTGTCCTCACACAGAGCTTCTTAAGGCGGCTCAACTTAGGGTGAACACGATCAACATACTTTACCTATAAGCATGAAAAGGTCATAAAGGAACCTTTTGTGCTGTAAATCAGTGCACAGTAGCAAAAGGTGTTCAATAAGCATTATTATATTAAAACAAAGAGTATGCAAAGACATTAAATGTGTTTGCTAACTAGATATGATATTTTACCCTTCAAAGCAAGGAAATGAAATTATAGATTATTAAATTTATGCAAATAATGTCATTCCAAGCTATGTTAATATACACATTGATACGTTTTTGAAAGTACAAACCAGTCTTTAAGAAAAATTCACAAGCAGAATAAAAATTATAAAAATATAATACTTTGAAAAAATTAAATTGTCATTTTAAAAGACATTCATTTTGTCTTACTAAAGGTATAGCAAATAATAAATCATTTAGCATCAAATGAATTCATTTGTTACATGAAGATAAGAAAATTCCATTTGTGTTGACTTATTTTTTGACCATCCTTTCCTGAGGTAGAGTTGTTCTCAGCATATGTGGTATCTACAAAGCAAAGGCAGTGGTCAGAGAACTTTAAACTCTGATAAAAGTCACAAGAATTACGACAGTTTGCATCATGCTTGGAAAACCTGGTGTGTGTGTGTGTGTGTGTGTGTGTGAGAGAGAGAGAGAGAGAGAGAGACAGAGAGACAGAGAGACTGTGTGTACATGCTCACATGTGTGCGTGTAGACACCTGAGGCCTGTATCCGGTGCCTTTTAACGTTATTTTGTTTTCTGCGTCAAGGTTTCTCAGCTGCACTTTGAGCCTGCAACTGCATCGACTAGCTGGTGAGCAGCCCCAGAGACTTACTGTGCCTGCTTTCCCATCACTGGGATCACAGGCGGGTGCCATCATTCTCAGCTTTTAACCTTGGTCTCGGGATCCGAATCACAGGACCTGGTTCTTGATATGACCTGCTCATAGCCAAGTGAAGCAGGGAGTGGGCATCGGTTTGGGGTTCCTAATACCCTGCAGCTGCATGACTGTCATCTCACTTTCTGTGGATGAGCCAGTATGATGCTCTCCGTGAACTACGGTCACATTCCACAGTGTCTGTTATTTCTAAGCCAACTCCATTCTAAGACCCCAGGGCAGACTTGTTGACCATGTTAGATGCTTATAACTTTCCATTCTTGATTCCTAGGCTCTCAAGACACCCTTTGGGAAACACGTGTCACAAACATTTATCATTTCTAGTTCTACTTCTAACTGTGACTTGTAAAGAATTTTCATTTCGCCCCCTCCAAAGACCTTACCCCAACATTAGT